CAAATTTATTTTGGATTCTTTTTCCCTTTACAATGCCCAAAAGCAGTCAACACAGATATTATCATGAAGCAATCACAAAATATATGCAGGCCTATGAACATGGTGATGTAAAAGTAGACCTAATTTAAAAAATATCACCTGGCTTCTGCTGTCATTAAAAGGACACTGAAATTTTAAACATTTTTTAAAATTCAAATTGTGAAATGAAGTGCTTAAAATGTTCAAGGAAGGAAAGGAAAGGAAGATAGGAAAAATCAAAGCTTCTTTCACCCAATAGGAAACTAATCTTAGATTTGCTGCTGGAATTTTAAGACCTGAAATACAAATGGCTTTTAAATTGAACATGGACATAAGGCCACTTGGAAGTAGCTGTAAGTTTTTGATATTTGTTTACCCTTTCTTTCAAAGAGGAAAGCTTAGACTAAAACTGAAGGAAAAAACTGTACTGAAACAACTATGGCAAAAATTTAAAAGCCAAATTATTTAGCCCTTGAACTGCTGTGACAATATGTTATGGAAATAGTTCTGCTGCTTTCAATTTTTAAAATTTTATTTTCTTTGTCCAGAACCCTTTATTTGGCTACTTCTTTAAAATTGCTGTGGTTTTATTAATGAAACAGAAAAATGGTGCATCATGAGACATGTAATGTACCACAGAGGGAGGCCCATAATGAATACAGATGAGAGAGATTGTAGCAGAAATTATTGTAGCAACACATCCAAATAGAAACATTTTGGCTGATAGCTTTCTTATTTTACCTCAGCTCCAATAATTTCTGAGTTCCTCTTGCTGGGATAGGATACAAGTCTAAGAAAAATGCATTGATGTCTCCTTATGAAGAAGGAAAGCATAGGGAGGCACATCTTATCTGGAACAACAGATCTTTCTGTCTTACAAAACCAGCATTTGACAGTACTTCTCATTCTATCTGAAGTGGATGTGTACTGCTTGGATTAAGAGGCAAAACCACCAAAAGCTGTTCTTGTCCTTACGGAGAGCACTGTATCTCCTTTGGATCATTGAAAAGATGGCAGAGCTGATGTGCTTTCAGATTCTTGGCACCATTTTGAAGGTGGAAGTGTCTTAAAGGGTTATTGTAAAGAGCTTCACATAGAAGCTATATGATATGGTTCAGACAGCCAAGAGGAGACTCCTACCTGTCCATTGTATTTATATAAAACTTAACTATGTAGTTCAAACTGAATAATCACAATGTATAAGGTATCGAAGACAAGGTGAAAAAAAAAGGAAAAAAAACCTACTACCAATTTTTTCCAAGAATGAGTGAAACATCTTTGAAATTGTTGAAAGAAAATATCTTCTTAAATCTCATCTGCAGACACTGTAAGCGTAGGAAGTCCCAAACCATATGTCTGAACATAATAGGCCTCCCAGGGTGCCACAGCGAATCCCACAATGAACTGAGTGTTTGGTAAGTACTAAAGGGTTATAAGATGACTCAGTCCTGGTTGGAACTTGCAGGGCCTCTTCAAACTAGCATTTCCCAACTTCTCTGCTCATGCTGATGTTTTTGGGCTTATGAAGCTCTAAGTTTGAGTGTCCTGCATGCCTTGCATGAAACAGTTACACACTGTCAGCAGTATCAGGTGAGAGTTTTATGTCTTTATAACAAAATTAGTTTGGTACTTTGGTTTGTCCCTTGTCCTCTGCCTCATTCTCCTACAGAATGATCAGAAGCAATATTCAGTCCTTCACCAGAAAGCTGTGTTCAAATTTCCTAGACCAAGACTTTCTTTCCTCACTAGATTTTTTTCCCTGGGTGTTTTTTGTTTGTTTGCTTATTTTGTTTTGTTTGTTTTGTCTGGTTTTGTTTTGTTATTGGGGTGGTTTTCTGTTTTATTATTTTAGTTTTTCTTTCCTTTTGGTTCTGGTCATGGTGGAATATTCCTGGGATTTATCTCATAAACTTGACAGAGTGGTAATGTCTGTCTAATATCTTTATTCATTACAGGGCTACCTCAACAGCTGAGCTTCCTGTCTCACAAAGCATCAGCCTATGCTGGTTTTGATAAGCAAAATTACCCCATGGCAGAGGGAGTAATTTCAGCTGTGGTGCATCAGATGTTGAATTTGGAGGGAAACTGCTGTATTTCTCTCAAGGAGTGAATTCATAATTTCTGAATGATGTAAAATTATTTACATACAGCTCTGTGCTTGGGTCTGAGTGAGGTGTTGTTTCCAACCAGGCTGAGAAATTTCTCTCTTACATTCCAAAAAGGTTGCACAGCTTTCTAGGAGTTAGAAGTGGGATCATTTGCCTTCCTGCTCCTATGACCCACATAGAAAAGCTTTCGGGTTGTTGACTGCCACGGGCTGCAGAGCACACAGTGTGACATGAGGAGCTGAGGCTGCCTCAGGAGGCATTTGCAGTGGGTACTCCCATGGCTGTATTTCAGGTTAGAATTAAGCACAGCTGTGCTACACATGGAGCAGGGGCACATGTTGTTTTCAGCCTGCATGTGCTGTCCCACAGCTGGGGACTAGCACTGCCCCACAGCGCTGGTGGGGATGATGGTATGACTGGGTTTGCTGGCCCACAGCCGAGCTGGGTGTGAGAGTTTGAGTGACAAAGATAGGCTGCTGTGCTGTAGAAAGCCCAGTATTTTTCTTTACCATCCTACTCTGCCTAGGTGAGTTCCTAACAAGTGTTTGGGGTATGTTTTTCAAGCCCCACAAGCCACACAGCAGCTAAAAAACAGTACTTGGATGTATGTGTTTGTTGGCAACCTGTGGGCTCATATGTGAGCAGGCATTAATCTTGCCCTACAACATTTTACAGAAGGCAGATTGCTACCCCTGTCCCCTGCCCTGCCCCTGAACAGGTAACTCTCGAAAGTAGAGGATGCTAAAAGCAGACACTTGTGTCAAGGCCTACCTACTTTGGCACAGTACTGTTTGTTTCATATTAGTGCTTAGAAATTAACTTTTGATTACAGAAACATATATTTTTAGACTGATTAATATTTTGTTTCAAAGGACCAAGGCTGGTCACTTGATGAGCCTGACCCCAGAAGACACTTTATTTTAGACCTTCACTAGTTTTTGAGAATCGAAGGGTATATGTAGCATTGTATTGTAGTGTTCAGTATTGAACGGGATCAAAACTTCTTTACAAGGAGAAAGTTAATGATGGGTATCTGATGGGATTAGAGCCTCATAAACATTGCCTAATTACTTGTCAGTCATCTGTGCTGCTGGTACCTTTTTCATCTTCTGGTAATTAGTTCACCTCTTAATGAAAATGTACTTAAAAAAAACCAAAATAACACACCCATCCCCAAAACTTCAGGTTTTAGACACCTTTCTGTAGTCTTGTCAGTGTTGATACTTTTGGCTCTGCCATTATTATATATGCCATTTGTATAAGTTGACAAAGATAATTAGCTCAGAATTATCTGTATATGCAGTAATTATCTTGTGGGTGTTGTCATATGTTTAGAAAGACCGACTTTTTCATACATAACATCATAGTGTGGTGCAGGGAAAACTGCTCAACTCATAGTTTAATCAAATCGGAATTAAAGTGGTTTTGTCTTTTTAACAGGGACATGTTGACCTAGCAATCAGTGAGCTCTGTGCTGGGGCCAGTATGAGCAATACAACACATAAACACCAACCACAGATACTTGCAAAATGTTAGTAAAGAACTTTGAAACTAATCCTAAAAACTCCTAATCTCAAACATGCATTGCTTTATGCAACGGGCACTCCCCAGGCCGTGTGGGCTACAAGCTGACACTCCTCTTCTTGAAGTGTGGGTGCCTCTGTTGCTCCACATGTCCTACAGGTACCCATGTAACCAGGTTTCAGGTACAGTTACATGTACCTGTGCTGCTCCCTGTGCTGACAGACATGCCACAAGACCCCCTGCACACCTGGGCTGGGGATCCCTGCTTGTTGCACCCCAACCTGCCACCAGACAGAGCCAGCACCATCAGGTCAAGGCAGAGGTGAGATACCAGCACCAAATCAGGACTGCCTGCTCTAGTGTCTCTCTCCACCTATCACAAGCTTTCATCCTTCTTTCCCATTTCTTTTAAACCTGATTCTTTCCCCAAAAGCCTTTGGTAACACAAAATTACCACTTAATCTGGGTAACAGTTGTGTGAAGCAAACTTAATTAATATCCTTAGCTAGCCCACTGGGGGCTAGTACTCTCTTGGGACTGGCAGTTTTTGTATTAACCTGGTCACATACAATATATCCTCACTCCCATTTGACAGCGTCTCTTGTTATCCAGTCCCTTTTGCCAGGCAGAGGTGGTGTGGGCTCTCATGCAGTAGTGAAATCTTTGCTTCCCGATGCCGTTGTTTGGGTGGGCTGCACTCGGGAAAGGCACGCACCCCGTTAGCGACATCCACTATCCCAATCCCAGTGGTCTAAGGGTCTGTCTTTTGGGGTGAAAGAAGCAGAAACTGTTTTTTTAAGACAGCTGAATTAAATAGAAGCATCTTATCCCAAGGGATGAGATATATCCCTACAGGATACCTGAAAAACAAATCTGGGGAATGTTCAACAGTCCGATATTTTTTCTTTGAGGTGGCGGCAAAGGCCGACAGTGATTCACTGGAATTGAGTGACAGTGGGAATACCATTTGCAAGGAGAAAACAGCTCGAACTCCGGAACAGCCGGAGAGAACGAGAATAAGTGTCCCTGCTGCGTGGCTTCCTCCTACAAACGGAGACTTTCTGTCAGCCCCCGGCTGAGTTGCACGGGGTCGGGGGTGCCGCGAAGGTGCTGAACGCAGAGACCCTGTCCTCCCCGTGGGAAGGACACCCGGGCAGGCCGCCCTTGGTGGGTCTCTGAGAGCAGCCATCCCGCCGGGCCGCTCTGCTGGGACAGCGGGGGAGGCAGGGGGACAGCGGCCAGCAGAGGCCCCGCGACGGGCGCTGTGTCTTTAAGGGCCGAGGCCGGCTCCGGGCTCCATCCTTCCTCCATCCCCGTCCCCTCCCTCCTCCTGCCCGGCGGCGCTGGGCGCCGGGAGGAGGCGCCTGCCTCTAACAAAAGTCTGCGGCCGACGCTCTCTTTCCTCCTGGCCCGGGCAACAAGTGGCTGGCGGCGGCCTCCCGCGGGAGGCGGCGGCAGCGGCACGGCTGCGAGGAGGAGGAGGAAGGCGGAGCGGCGCTGAAGCATCGGAGGAGCGGAGCGCCAGCCGCGGGGCGGTGGAGCCAGCGCCCGGAGGCCGTCCCGCCCGTCCTGCTTGTGGATTGTAACTGGAGCCGCCTTCCTGGCCCGGACACCCCGGCTAGAAACCGGGGCGGGGAGGGCGCACTGATATATCGCATTTTTGATTCTTTCACTTTTAAAGTTATTTTTTGTTGTGGTTGGTGGTGGTTTTTTTTTTTTTTTTTTTGTTTGTTTGTTTGTTTGTTTTGTGGGGAAGGGAGGCTGTCGGCCACCCGAGAAGAAACGGAGGAAGTTGCAAGGCTGCTTTGAACATGTCGCCGTGAACACTTTCGGAGGCTCTTCCCCCTGCACTGCCCCAGGGCTGCACTCCGTCAGCCGCGGCTGCTCGGTGCCCCGCGGCAGAGATGCTGGGCGGCGGCGTGGGAAAGCGGCGACGAGCATGAAGGCGGCAGGATGGGCGCGAACAATGGCAAGCAGTACGGGAGCGAGGGTGAGCTGGGGGGCAGCAAGAGGGGTGCTGGAGCAGCGGCGGGGGTCGTCCTGGCCGGGGAGGGGTGACCGGGCGGGGGGCGCCGCGGCGAGGTCCTCCTCTCCCCGGCCGGGACGACCCCCGCCCGGATCCGCGACACAGTCTCCCGCTGCGCCCCTTAAAAACACCCTTTACTTTTATTTTAAATTTTTTTTTTCACTATGTTTAAACTAAGGAGTTGAAGTGCTGTCTCAGCTCATGATGTCGAGGCAGCAGCGCGGCTTGCTGTTCGAAGGCGTTAACTTCGCTAAAAATTTGTAGAGCGCTCTTTGTAATCCTTTTCTACTCGTCTTTATATCCCAGGATCCTTATATTATGCAGTATGCCATATGACTGCTTCCTGTCTGAACAGAAAGAAAAAAATTAACTCCGGCAAGGGTTGGGGGGAGAGTTAATGTTCTCCAGCTGTTATCCATAGATTGTAGTCCTGCAATTTCACTTCAGTGAAACGTTAGTGGACTTGGTTTTAGATATACAGGGACTGATTCGTTCTTGTGGAAACCTATTTGTCTCGCTGGAGCTGCATCAGGGATGAATTTCAGCTGCTTTGCTTCTGGTGAGAAGGACTACTGGAACAGTCAGCTAGTGTCAGGCAAACCAATGGCAAGTACAGAAAGTTTGTCTTTCTGCCAGCTATTTTTGAGCTGTCTTTAACTTTTAGCTGACTTCTATATGTATTGCCCTCCAAGGCAACTCTGTAGGATCTATACCTTCCCCTTGGTATAATGGGCAACTGTATAGGATCACCACCCCCCCCCTTTTTTGTTGTTGAGGGTTTGTAGGTGGAGTGAGGGAGGTGATCTGGTGGTCTGGTCCATTCTTTGGGAGTTGAGATGGCAACTGCCAAAGAATACATCTCTTGCATCCAAAATATGCATGAAGATTGTGTAAAGGAAAGGGGAAAGACGCTGCTTCTAGAGCAGATTCTGCAGTTTTTTTCGTTTATTGCCAAATGACTTCTGCATTTTGAAGAGTTGATGAAGTCAGATGCTTTAAGCTAAAGATATTCTTCCTGTTGTGGGGTTTCAGTCAATTGATACCATCACTAGAAGAACTCCTCCATAAATGGGGTGAGCCTGGAAGTTGCAATCAAAGCCTCTTTGGATTCATCCTGAAAGGAGAAATCTTAGTTTTTCACGAGAGTTGAAAGGGTTATCGTATATAGTTCTGTTCATGCTGCTGGGGGATGTCTACTTCTATGACAGGAAAGTGTGGATGTATGCCTGAGCTTTCTTGTGAATTCAGAGGACTGTTTGCTTCAATAAACATACAGTTTTTGGGGAGGAATGTGACTGACACAGAGTCTTTTGCAGCCCTCAGTGAAGGGGAGATAAACTGTTCCAGAAGTATGTGATAGGCACTCTGAGGAAGAGGAGGATTAGTACTACCAGGGTGTTCTTAGTTCACCTCTCTCCTCCATTCAGAGTGGAGATTGGATCCTGGGGGTGCAGACTACATGTGGCAAATTAATCTTTGCAGTGCAGACCATTACCTGTCTTGAAAATTAGGTAGAATAGTGGTTTAAAGTTAAAATAAACTTAAAAAATCCCCAAGCCCCACGACCAAAACTTCATCATCAATGTGTCTCATAGATCATGTTTCTTGGTAACTTCTATGCACCATCAGATCCTGAGAAACTTGGAGAAGCTCTCATAGGAGTTTTGTTTCCTGAGTGATACAGAGGAGAATAAATCTAAACCTGATAAAGGGAGCCTTCCCCCTCATCCCATAAACTACTGGGGCTTTTGGTGCCTTTGGCAAATGAACCATTTAATTTCTGTAAAAAGTTGCTTTTTAGTAGGATGTGGTTATGCTCCCAGGTGGAGGGGTAGCACCATTTAGTGTGTATTTTGAAAACAACCAGAATATCCATTTAGGAGTTCATGGAGTGGTGTCTGTGGTACAGTTTTTGGCCTATTGGGCTTTGTAGGCAGATGCTGCATGATGGTATGTCATTTTAGGAGTGGCGAAAAGTTAGTTCAGCTTCTTGAAGACTGTTTTGCTGTTTGCTGCTTGCTGGTGTCTGCCTGAAATCTCACCTAAGATAACTGCAAATTATTTTAAAAATGTCTGGGTTTGTTTTTTTTTCACACAGCTTTCCTTCCTCTCTTCTGTGGAGCTGCAGCACTTCATTAATTTGCCCAAATTGTTTCTCATCTCATTGTTGAACAGATACATTAGGGCAAGGGTTACTCTTGCTCAAGATACTCCTTCTAAAATAGAGAGTTTTTATGACCAGAAAATTGGGTGTTATATGGATTGCTACCTTGTTACACTGCCATTAATAAACTTTTTTTAAAATTCACATCTGTGCTATGCATGCAACAATCTCAGGCAGCTAAGTTTGTATCTGATCACATAAACTACACTGGACTGCCTTTATTTATTTGGTTGGCCAAGGCTTTATGATTTTATTGGAAGCTACAATTGTCATTTAAGATGCATGGGTCAGTTATATGTTTGAGGAGTCTAAATCAGTGTATAGAGTCTGGTGAATAGTTGACAGTACCTTTTAATGTGTTTGATTTTCATTAATTTTCTAAGGCTAAAACTTGCTCTGTGTGAAGCTTAAATGTAAATAAAATTGCTTACCTGAAAAATCATGTCATGATTTTTAGGATATGAACACGGCACTCATTTAAGAAAGTATGACAAATTAATATAGAAACAAAACTTGGTTTACAGGAATTTACCTCTTTTTAACTGTAAAATATTAAATAGAAGTTTACTTTCCTGGTTTTCATTTGAACTTCTACAATAATTGTTATAAGGCAGATTATTCCTGGAAATCTGTTTACCTGAAAAATATATGGAGCTTGAGATTTCAGGCTTGTTGTAGTATGCAGTAGGTTCAGATTGAAGTGTTAAAGTTTGAGATGAGTCTTTCTGAACGTGTCCCAGCAGTTGTGTTTGAACAGTGCTATGGATGGTAATAGAACTCTGGAGCAAGAAATCTACTTTATCATGGAGCAGAATTCGTAGGGCTTTTGCCTACACAGATAATCTGATGGAAATCATCAGTTACCTTAGCAAGAGTCTTACTGCTGTAGTTCACTGTCTTGCCATGACGATAAATAATTTTACTTTCTCTCACTTATATAGCTCATTGCTTGGTCTTTAAATAAAAGGAGGCCTTGTGTCTGATATTGGACAGAGCAGCCTTTTGTCAAAAGTCAGGCGTTCTGTTTAAGGACCTGTCTTAAAATGTAATGCTGTTGCAGCTGACCAAACAAGACAATACTTATCATCACAGGTGAGGGACTGAATTGAAGGATGTTGCCCTTTAACTATTGCCAAGTTGATCAGACACCTTAGCAGTGTTTCTGCAATGTTTTTGCCCAGAAAAACCTTCTGTGCTGGTCATGAGGCTGGGTGGGTGCTGATGGTAGTGCCAGCTGTTGGCATGGGATCTTTGGGAAAAAGATAACTGCATGCTGTCCCTCTTACCACCTGAAGCAGTTTCTCATCCTCAAGAGAAGTACTTTAAAATTGCAGGCTTCTGTAGTACAAAGGAATTGACTTCTTGATATGAGTTGGAGGAATAATCTGTGTTATTACATATAGAAGGAAGCTGTGGCATTGAGGTGAAATTGCTGCTTTGCAAAATAACTTTTTAAAGTGTCTTCTTCACAAGTGACTTCTTCATTAAACTGAGACCTGAGAACCAGTCAACTTTGAGAGGAACTAAATAGTGGTACAAAATTTTGACAATACCGATGTTCAGACCAGATGAAGGAATATCTTTTGAATAAGTCAACTGTCCAGAATCCTGCAGTTGTGGGTAAAACTTTCTTTGGACATCTGCACTTTATCCATCCAGAAGCTGTTCTAGAGAGGATAGGTGACAATGAGCTCCACTTGATCAGCTAAAATGTAGTGAAAGACTTGATGTAACACAGGAACCTGGTTCTGTAGAGAACAGAGGATGGCAGGGGAAAAATAGATGCAACTGTGGGAGAAATAGGTGAAACAGCACCTTAGACAAGGAAATCAACATCCTTTCTGCATCATAAGCTTTGTTGACAAACTTTTTCTTTCTGAATCTGAATATTTAATTTGGGAAGATTTTAATGTAAACTATTTAGGAATAACTCTGTTCTTAGTTTGAAAATGTTCCTTCTTCAAACTTTTATTTGTGGTGTTTTCTATTCACAAACCACTTAGAGGGAGAATTTCTGTGTAGATCTCAGTGTTCTGCTAAAGTAAGCATCAGCACAGAAACCTGCCTTTGTCGTGAGATACAGTTGCTACAAAGCACAGGCACCATGGTTCCACAAAGGTGGTGTTAATTATGATGTGTGATCTGGTATACAGTAGCTAAACTTTGCTGGCATGTAGCACTGTGGAGAAATGGGTCAGTCTGTGTTCATTTTGGAGTAGGTTACCCTCTCAAATCTGTCCCTTCATCTGGGAAGCATGGCTGAGGTCTGCGTCATAGAGCCAGGCTTTCAGACTTTCTTGAAGGCGCTGTTGGACACTAACTCATTGTGAATGCTGCCTTTCATTTCAAAGTAGATCTCTGCTAATTCAGTGATGGCAGGTGTTCTGACACACCTGAGATTGTATATGGAAATCTTTTTCATCCAAAAGTTCTGGCATTGATGACCTATAGATTTTGTCATATGTTAGGATTTGTTTCTTCACAAAGTGTTGCTGGATTTTTTTCATATGCAGTACTTATGTTAGCTGTGAAAAACAGTATACCATGGTAGTCTTGCATTCTTTCGTTTAAGTAGTTAAATCATAATAATTTACCAATTGTTTATATTAGTGGTTAGAATCTGTGAAGCCTTGTGGGAAAATTTTAATGAGGGCAAGGGGTGGGAAAGACAATAAATTAGTTTTTACTTAATTATTTAATTATAAAATTGTGGCACCCCCCTGAGGTATCTTTCCTGTGTACTGCATCTTCAGAAACAAGGGCAGTTTTTCTTTCTGGTATTTATTATTTTCTACCCCAT